GTTAAGATAAATAATGAAAATCCACTCCTGAAGTGGAAGAGGTAGCTACTTTTGCAAAGCCTCCAAATTAAGAGCCTTCCTACCTAGAGACACTTCAAACACAGTAAATATTTTATCAATCTGTGATATGTTTAACAGCAGCAAACAAGATAGAAACAGTTCAAAGTATACAAAAAAAAATTTAAACAATCATTTCCTTGATAAATAAGCAAGGTAACATGATTTGTATACGTAAACGATAAATACCTTCCATGTGTTTTTCCATGCTGCAAATTGGAAAAGTAGTTTCCAAGAAACCTATAATACTGATGTAATACTGCTACTACTGCTCAGAATTTCTTCCTAGTACTCAACTCATACTGCCCAGACATACTATAGGAATCCCAGGCTTCAGAGAAGCTGGCAGAGATAATTAGAAATTAATGAGGGCTCAATTTTAAGCTGAATCTAAAATTGAGCTCTTAGCCTTCAAAGCTTAAGACTATTGGCCATACAGTCCCATACCAGTCGCATACAACAGGTAATCATCAAAACACTAAGCAATCTTCTTAATCCATGAGAAATCCTCCAATTTTATGTTTCCCTTCAGGCTGTCGATTCTTCTGCCCCCGACATTCACAGGGAAACCAAAACTAGTAGGAGTCTTAAACAGTTTTAACTGACAACTTTAATTTACAAAACAAAATGGCTTTTACTATGCTAGCACAATGCTAAATCGGTTCCACTACATTTTTGTGGCACAGCCCCATTTACCTCAAACCATTGCAACCAAAGCGAGCAACCACGTTGTTACTAGATGGGCACCAAGCAGAAAACACATATGGGACACAGGCATTAATTTCAACTGCAACTTTGACTATGATCAGGAGAATCACAAAGTGGGGTAAAAATCGGGGTCAGGGATCGTCACCCTCCTGATGCAGAGAAATTCAGTAACATTTAAGCTCATTGTGACATCCATTATCAATATTAAATAGCCATTTTGAGCATGGAAAAGCTGCAACAGCCATTAAGTTGTAAGCAGCAAGGAAACTGTCAGAAAAGTCCTTGAATTTTAATGCCACATGTAAACTGTTAAGTCATAAATGAAATATATTAACAAAAACAAAATCAAAAACAAAAAAAAAAAACAAAGCAAGTTTGTTCTGTAATTAGGAAAAAAACCCACATAGCTCCATCTTTTAAAATTGTGTGCAAGGAGAGGAAAATTCATGTCTGCAAAAACGTAGAGCAGTATCTGATCAAACTGAGGATTTCAAAAAGCACAGGCCCACGTAATTTCCACACAAGAAGCTTCAAGGAAACAACTGAGGAACTCCCTGAAACACAAATGTTGTTTTTTAAATAATATTAGGAAATTCTAAAGATCAAAGGACTCTCAAAATTAATATTTAAAAAAAAATGCAAAAAGGGAAGATTCAGGAACTAAATGGCATAATTAGCTTGGCTTGGGTCCTGGGCAGAATAATGCCGCGACAATGGGAAAGATGGAGGCTAAAAATACCCGGCCATGGAGGCGAGGTCATCGGAGGGAAACCCGAGCGCAGCCCCAGCGCCGACGGCATGAGGAGCGGCGCAGGCCTCAACGGTGCCGCTCGGGAAGGCCCTTAGGCCTCAACGGTGCCGCTTGGGAAGGCCCTTCTCTCCTGGCAGACCAGCCAGCTGGAGAAACGGGGCTACATCCAACTCACACGGCGACACTGCCCCATGACTCCTGGAAGCTTCTGGAACAGTCTCCATTTTGAGTCACAGCATGGCATAGCAAAGCAAATTGGGCAAACATGTGTCGCTCTTGCCCTCCAGGGCAGATCGGTGGACATTTCCTGAACAGAAATCTAACAACAGCCACCTTTAATATTCTTCTAACCTTAAAAACAAAACAAAGTAAAAAGATGACACAATTCTTAATAAATTATAGGGAGAAAAGAGCTATTTTCATGTCGATGGAGCTAACTGAAGGGAACTTCACTGAAGTCACACATCTTGTTTCTTCACAAGTCCACTTATCTGTGGATCACAAAAGGAGATTATTCCAGAAGCTTCTCAAAAGAACATGATCTGAAACATATTTATGAGACTACCCCTGTCTTGACACACACAGAGCACACATTCCAAAATGACGTGTTTGTTATCTTCAATGCTTCGATAAATCATGTTGCCCAACACCCATGGGAGTGACCTGCTTACCTATATATACACATACATACGCGCACACAAACACATACACATATATTATAGGTATTAAGAACATGAGAACCAAAACCAAATATTATTTATGGACATAAATGTTCTAAGGGTAAAAACACACCGTAAGAAGTAATGAAAGTTAAACTTAAAATTAGTTCTGCTTTGCTATCTTAAGACAAAGACAAAATAATTGCCTAAAAGAGAATAAGATATGTAGGCTCCCGGTCAAGAATATAAGGAAAATATATGAAAAGTTGCTGCTAGCTCATAAGAAAACAGATGCTTTTGAACAATTTTATACTGAGACACACACAAACACTTAAAAGCAAAAACCAGAGGGTGTGTATTTGAGGGATGGATTAGGGGATCCCTACTTCAAGCCGAAATGGAGAGGCAATTTGTGTGTAGCTCCACTATGAGACAGACTAAAAACAAAACAAAAAAAATTATTTGTTATTAAAAACAAATTAGCCACAGAACTTTATACGTAGTACTACTTATTTTAAAATTCGTTTTATCTCCTACACTAGAGGGATTTTAAAGCAAAAAGAAACAAAGATGACTGTCAGCTAAAAAAGATGACTGCTCACCAAAGATCTTGCTTGATGCATAGAGAAAGCTTTCATGGAATGGAATGAGCATATATGAAATCTGCTTCAGAAAAAAAATGTGGTTTTGTCCTGTAAGAGGAAAATTTGCTTTTCTTCTATCATAGCTGAACTTCAAACTTCTGAACTAAAAGTGGAAACAACCTGCTACTGCTGCCGTTTAACCATGAACCCTCTGATAATACGTTTAGGCACAACCTTTTATCAATGGCTAATTCGTTGCACTTGTTTTTTACAGCTTTAACTTCAACTTGTGTTGTTCCAGTACGTTTTGAGGAATTGGGAGATCGCTACTGATTTTTTGGGAAGCCACCAAGAGTAGCTTTATATAAGATGATGTTTTGTCTGTATTTTACTGATAAAACTGATGCTTAGTGTAACTTTGAGTCCTCCAACCCGCGACCACATGACTTGATAAAAATTTGTGCAGGGAAGTTAGCACAGGATTCAATTAAATGCACTGAATATCGGTTCAAAAACACGAAGGGACAAATTGAGTATTTATGTCCATTATCGAGATTTTTGGTAATGTCTGCAGCTTACATTCACCACCAAAAGACTTGAACAGTGACCAATTACAGCTCTTAAATCCTCTGCTTATAATGATCATAATCTGATAAAATGTTTGATCATAACTGACTACAGAATATGCAAGCAGCAAGATCAGTGCTGAAACCTGATGTGAAGAAACAGCAGCTTGTAGTTACTGTTTGCAATTCTCAGCCTAATGACACAGTCAGAGGTGCTAAAATAAAATAAACCTGAGGATACATTATTGAAGGACGAGTTAAAGTAGAGCAGAGAACAGATATTGCCTGAAACAAAAAGCATTAATAATAGTCCAGTGACTGAAAAACAAATCATATAATATTAGGCTTAGAGAAAGTAGTCTATGGATCTTAATAAAGTAAGAGTTGATTAATATGTACATACAGTTATGAATGGAGGGGAGGAGTTTCACTATCAGACAAGAAATTTTGTGTGGAAAACAAGAATTACACAAATTCAGCTTTTAAAACAGATGCAATTACATAGACTCAGATTCTATTAGACGCAGACTCATCATAAGCAATGTTAAGACAGAAAAAAAATCAGATAAAGTGACAGTTTTCTTCCAGTTTGTGGGGAAAAAAAAAAAGAAAATATGTGTATGCTATGCATATAGGAGGGTGAGGTGGGTATACGCCCTCTTTTATATAAGGGCTAAACTGAAGTGGTTTTGAGAAAAAGCAAGCTAAAATGGAGTGAGGAAACCCACTGCATCTGGAGCTGCAATCACACCATCCTGCACTGTGGAAGCAGCTAGACCTCGTGCAAAAGCCCTCCTGGATCCTGAAGGAGCAATCGTGCTCCCCTCTTTCAGCCATATCTCCCGCTTGCTCAGGAGTGTGGTACAAGTTTTATGGTTATAATTCATATGGAAAAAAACCACATACACAAAACCCCCAAACCACCCCCTCAAAATAAAGATTATCTTCTCAACAGCTCTCCACCCACTGAACACAAGCTATGAATTGCAAAATGGCAACATTACTCATATCACCACACTGAGGGCTTCAGCACCTAAAAGCAGACCAAAATCTAGAATCTCATGTTAGCAGAATTTCTGCTTTCTCCTCTTAAAAGCTAACACTTTATTTGCACACCTCAAAAAATCCATAGATAACCCCCTCCCATCCTCTCCAGGTGTACAAATACCAGTGGGAAGTCATGACCAAACTACACAGGACCCCTAAATAAGTGACATTTTACACTGCACTCAAGGCTGTCCAACATCCCTCGGTCTCTAGAATATGCATAACTTTTTATGTAGATTTTAGGTTTAATTCATTTCAATCAGCAGAGCAGAAAACAGAGTAAGAGAGTCTAAAACATAATCTACAAAAATAAGCATAAACTAATTCAGGAGATACTTTAAATATTCCTCCCCCCACCCAAAAGGTAGTATATTGCCTTGACAGACAATAAAAACAATGTATGTTTACCAATTTTCCAAGAGTTTGTTGTTCTGCATATCTTTCTTCCGTCACAAGTACTCGTTGATTTTAATGTCAGTATTATCAGTCTAATTAATACTGGTTAAAGATTAAGGCTGACCAACTTACTGAGTGCACTGATTTCTGCACAGGCTCCAATAACGTGAAATACAAATTTTTTTTTTTTTTTTTTTTAAATACATCTTGCCCTTTAGGAAAAAGAAGTTACCTCTACACAAAAGATCTTCAGATCAAGCCCATATAATTTCATCTTCTCTGGAAAACATTGAAAAACATTCAAATATGGAATATGGCCTTCAACAACAAACCTGCATTAAAAAAAGAGAGCATCAAATCAATATATAGTATTTAGCACGACAAAAGCATGTTTATTCTGAAAATACTACATAAAAATATTAATTTCGGATTTAACATCACCATTAAGTTGCCTAAGCAATTCTGTCTGAAGTTACACAACCTTAAATGCTCCATTGCCACAAAAACCAGCTCCATCATTCAGTAGGCCTTTAAAATGAAGCTCAGCTCTGATTGACAAATGATAAGATTATGGCACGGAGCTGACAATCAACACGCTCGCATACGGCTTGTTCTGCACATTCTTCATTGATTACATTTTGGAGCTTGCTTAGACTCCTTACGGTCGTATGGAATTTTTCTTTCAACATCCTGAAAGGCAAATTTTAAAAACTGACACACACTTTCCACTGGAGGAGTCAGATACTGGGGCTGGGAGGGAAATCACAGAATTACCAGCATATACGTGGAGCTGATCTCCATTAATTTCATTCTGATCAAAACATGTTATTTGGATACAAAGAATCTGTACACCAATATATGCAAAGTAATTTATTTGTACTCAAATAATGCATTTTTATTTAAAACTGGCTTTGCTAAGAGGTGAGCAACAACACTTTGCTTTTTTTTTTTTTTTTTTTTTTGTAACATTCTTTTGTATCGTCTTTGTAAGATAGGATTTAATAACAGCTACTGAAAAGCAAAAACACTCAGAAATGCTACCACAGAGGACACCTGCTCTTATCCAAGATCTTAGCTGAGATTTACATCAGGCAAAGCCAGCTCTAAAACAGTAGGGACCATCCCAAGGAACTAGTCACTGCTCTCATTCCAGAGCAAAGCAGATCAGCGGCCTCCCACGGCATTAATGTAGAACCATGTTCCTGCCTCTTCTTCAAAACAATTTTATTAAAAAAAAAATTAATCTGAAAAAAAAACCAGAACAATTTAACAGAGAAGTCCTTGTTACTTAAATAACGTTAAAGGGTTGAAAACAACATTCCTGCACAAACTCCCTCCCGTCTCACTATGGAGACCAGCAACTTCTGGGACTAAAAACTCTGCAAGACCCTCCTGGATTTCTCCAGAGTTTGTAAATTCAAAATACGTTGAGAGAAAAAAGAGCAATACCTAAGTAGAAGGATGTCTTCACAGCTACGAGCATCCAGTGTTGAGGAAGTTCCATCTCCCTCTCAGTTTCATGCAGTTACAAACCTGACTTCTGTTTCTCAGGACAGTGCCTTAACCACACACTTGCTGCACATTGTTTAACGTGTATATATGAAAGATGCCTAAAACTCTATGTAAAGGCAGGTTACTGCAAGGGAAGGTTATGCTTACGTCCTACATTTGTTTGAAAATATTTTTAACTTTTTGTTTAATTTTTTAAAAAAGACCATTAAAATAAGCACATTCTTACTCAAAACTTTTTCTCCACTAGAATTAGCCTAGCATTTAGGATTTCAGCAATCTGGAAAGATCACTTCAGCCAACACCTTTCACTCTGAAGGTCTGTACAAGAAAGGGTCTTGCAGGGGCCATTTTATGGAAGTGTGAGATGTACATTTTTGTTAGTAGTTTCCTTAAATAGTGCGAACAGCCACTCCCTACCCCAGCACTGGTTCCTGTATTTGGCAGCCCAAAGCCAGCAGCAGTCGCCCTCCTACCCCACTTGCTGGCTGAGCACCTCGTACGGCGGCTCCTTGGCTCCTTTTAGGCAATATTAGCTGTGACAAATTAACTTAAACCAGAGGTATGTTTTCATAAAGAGCATTAAATCAGCCTAACAGCCTGATATAACTGGGCTTATTTCCCTCCTACTCTTCTCCTGGGCTGGCTGTGTGCTCTTCATACCATCCTGTTGCACAAACTCATGTAACTTGCAGGCTACTTTCCAGCAGAGAAGGGGCTGTCTCCTGTCATTTTAACCAAGGACTGGATGGCAGAAGGATCTAACAAGAGCTGGAGGTGGCAGAAGGGATGCTCCACACAGCCAGGAGGATGGAGAAAGGAAGGAAGACCTTCCCCTTCCAGCTGCCGTTCCCAGCACAGGGGGTCATGAGCTCTGCTACAAGGCAGCCACACATGGGATTAGGTGCCACATCTGAGGAGCTGGCGTGAAGAAGCTGAGAGTCATAACCCCCCAGAGCCAGCGCAGCAACAGCTGGAAGGGGACAAACAACTGCTGGAAGGGGACAAATAACAAAGGTGTGGTGGTGCTGGCAGCTAAGCCAGGAGCTGCACAGGGAAACCCCAGCTCTGCTGCCCTCCCCTGCCACAAGCTCTGGGCTCCTCCCTTGCTGACAAAGGCACCCGGGTGACTTCTCATCCAGAGGATTAGATTGAAACCTGCCCTTTTGTTTCCCACCGTTTGTTTTCATCTAGAGACATTTCCAGGCTCAGCTCACTGCAAGGACACTGCTGTTGGCACAAGGTGGAAAGGGTGAAGCAAATTAGGCTGCAACACTCATTTTTTTTTTTGCAGACATTAATCTTTTGCAACATTCCTTTCCTGCAAATATACTTCTTTCTGACTAACTTTATTGCAGATTGATGAGTGTTTTTGCCCAGGGCAAAAGAAAGGGCAGGAACACTTAATGAGGGACCCCAACAGCACAGCCTGAACGGAGCACAGAACCCCATTCCTAGAACCACATCCTGCAAGGAGAGTCCCGAGAAAACAACAGCATTCCACACGCTCAAAAATATAAACAAACATAAATAAATTCCAACAATGACATCTGCTCCAGCCTGAAATTATTGTCTCCATATATATATGTATATAAAGTGTTCTTCTCTGTCATGTTAAAGTTGCTTTCATATTCTAAAAGATGTACGAAACATATGAACACTGTTAGGAACAAAATGTGTTGAGGATTCAATTTAATACTTACTCCTCAAATCCTAGATTTGGAATAGCTTTATCAAACAGCTTGCTGATTCTCCCAAACCCTCCACTGACCTGACAGATGATCAAAAAACCTCCTAGGACTATGCAGTATCACTGAAGCCCTTGAGAGGCAGATAAAGCACAGAGTCCATATTCTTTTAATTATGGCAGCAACGCACATTAATCAGGTCCAAGTATGAAAAAACCCTTAGTCCTCTGCCTACTACAAGGAAATGATGCATATGTTAAAGCCACACAAACTGATTACAAGTTTAGTCTTGCCAGCACAGTTGGGTATCACCCCAGCTGGAAGGTATTAGCTCACAGCCTCCCCAGCTCTAGCATCTTGAAACTTCTTCCACAAACCAACAGTTTTATTATTTAGGTAAATAATAAACAGCACAGTAAATATCATTGTGATTCTTCACAGTGAGAAAGGATTTAATGCCTTACGTAGACTTGAGTCGCAGGTTGCTGAAAATGTTATTTTTAAAACAAATCATTCTCGGATGAGCTAATTGTAGTGTTTTCTGCAAAGTGTGTCAAATAGCAAGGAGGAGGGTATTTTTGGTGTTGTAAATCCTTTAAGGGCTGGCAGGTTGCCCTACCCCGGTGCCTAAGCATGTATCACAAGGGAGGAGCCGCAGTCAGCTGACTTCAGGGTAGGGAGAAAACCAAACCCAGGGAAAAACAAGGCAGAACTTTAAGCACAATTGTAATGCAGGTGGTTTAAATAATACTATTTGCCTATAAGGACTTAAGAGGTAATGCTGAATATTTATTATTTTCTCTGCATAGTTTTCATCTCTGGCCTGTCTCTATTTTGATGCATCTTAACACAGACAAAAATGGTCACACTGTCTGATTTTTAAACTTTAAATATTCAGAAGCTAGAAAACAAGGGGTTTACAGTAGTTCATGCAACTTTTCTTTCCCCTTCTTTATCAAACCTGAGAGGCAAGACCTCAAGCATAGGTAGGTAAAGCATGCTAATGTAAGGACAGTCTTACATAACTTTCCGTATCATTTTAAGAACATTGCAATACAAATGATATTCTTTTAAATAGGACTTTATGCATTTAATTCAGTTCATATGCTCAGTGCATTTAAAGCCACTGGATCATTCTGATCCCCCACGAAGTTTACCCACTTACATGATATTGAACCCATAAATTGTATCCCATAAACAAATGTGATAAGCTCTGAAAATGTGAGTATGAAGGAAGTTTTCCAGGTTCCAGATCATTTTTTTTTTTGCATTGCCCAATTATAAAAACCTGAATGCAGCAATATACTCTTAACATTCAATGAACACAATCCTGCCCGTTACTGCCCTGTTCCTATTACTGAGGTCCTTGCTAACATGGTGCTGTGGTTATAAAGAAAAGTTTGGTTTCCATGATAAAGCAAACCCAGAACAGGATAATGCATTATGCATTTTTATCTAATCTTCAAACAGAATGGGCTAGGCAAGAAGTCTTTATTACTGTGCACCATTTGCTCTGACCCAGCATCTGCGATTTACTACTTTGATTTTTGCATATATATAAACATCAGATATGACTGATTTTCTAATAATTGATAAAAATCCAGAGTAGGCTGGGATAGTTCCGATTCCCGCACTCCTTAGGAATGCATTAATCAACAGTAAATCTCGTCATTGCCAACTACTTTCGAGTTCTGGCACTTCTTATCTACTCAGCATCTACTTTCGTATTGCAAGGTGCTAGCTTGAGCTTCAAGTGAAGCCACATTTTAAGGTAAACATTTCATAAGTAGCAGGTAGGCAACAAAAGCATATCCAAATCTGCAATGCTGCAATTCGGATTGATGAACACAAGGGCAGTCCCCTAAAGTTAAAGGATTATTTTTTTTTTCCCTAGAAATAAGTCATGATAACTGCAGTTAACTGTCCCCTTCCAGGCATAAAATTTTCCCCCTTCTTAAAATGTGTTTGGAGTATTTGATACCCACCATTCTCAGAAAATCTGCCCAAAGGGGGAGGATGAGAAAAGGGGCTCCAAAGGCAGAGAGGCCATTAGGGAAAATTAGGCTTTGGGGTAAATTTCCCTTATATTAGCCATAGATTCAGCAGCAATACCAGTTACATGCATCACGGAGGGAGGAGGATGTACTTGTTGCCTTGTTTTTAAAAAGAAATGAAAACATCATATCAACTGATTCTAGGATTCCTGTTTATTTTGCCGAGGTCTGACTTTCCAACTTACACTTACTTAAGTCTTCCTGTTCCTTAAATTTGGGAGGGGGAGGACAGGGCATTTTTCCCCATCTTTTAGAGCCCCCCACTATTTCAACGCCTGTTAAAAAGATGTATCTTTACACAGAAGGTCTTTCAAGTTTTCAAAAAGCAGCTGCACAAAATTTTCTATCACAGAAAAGGCAACTAACTCCACAGGTCACCTCATTATTCCTGAGCATATTATTAAGCAAGCAGAGATAAAGACACAATTAAAAAACCCACATCTATTATTCATAAAAGCAACAAATATTTCACTAGGAGCAATCCATACCTTAAGAGATCAGATAATGTCATTGATTCTCTGAGCCAGAGTAAGGCCATGTAACAAAATGAAAGGGTCATGGGCATCGACATCCTCAGTTTGTCCTTCTTGTTCTTCCTGGCGTGCAAGGTACCGTCCACCGAGCCCGAGCAGGCAGAGGTGCTTTCTTTGGTTTATATTAAAAAGAAAAAAGATACCCAATATGACATACATATGATACATAGTAGAAAAAATATAAAGGAGCATACGTGGATGTTTGTTTAGTCCCTAGGAAAATTTTCAAATCACTACTATAGGTGTTAAAACATAAATCACTATTTTAGTGTGTTAAATAGCTTAACTTTTCAATTTATTCTTCTACCCAGATATTAAGACAACTAATTCATAAACTGCTACTTTGCTTGACTGGGGTGCTGGATAATACAAAGAGGCAAAGCTCACTCTGGAACCCAACTAAACAGATCTTTCAATGGGACTTACTCTTAAACCTGGAATCCTAGAAAGCTGTTACCTCCTATACAACACATAACCAATAGCAGTTATGACCTGCAAACACTATTTTATATTTGAGAGACAGGGAGCAGGCAGGGGAGAAACAAGGAGGAAATAAAAGTGATATGCCAAAGTGAGCACCTCAGAGTTGACGATCAAAACAGCAAATATAAAAGTTTCCAAATACTGAGTTTTAAACATCAGTACAGTCAGAATTATAAAGAGAACATGATTTATATTGTTGAAATGTTACTTAAGTGTGGGTACTGTATAGCCATCTCCCGTCTATTCTCTAATCATAAGAAAGTATGCATTATTTTTTTTTTAATCTAAACTCAAAGGATCACCTTCAAAATACAAATGTGGCAAATGGTAGTAAAGTAGGTGAAAAGACCCAGCCTATTCCCTTACTGCAGTGAATCACTAAAAACTGAGAGAAGCAGAAATAAAGAAGTTTTATAGGGAGAAGTAATGTAAAAGTTAGGAACCTTTTCAGCAGCAAAACCTGGGAGGTCAGGGAAGGAAAAAGAGAAATCAAGTCTCCCTTCCATTCATCATAAACCAGGACAAATTTGACTCCATAGAAACTTTCTCACTCTCTTTAACCAGCTGCTGTTCGAACACAGAAGGTTCAATTCCCAGCTGGAAGCTACGGTCCCTAAAAATAAGGCTGCAGCTCATGGAGTCTGGCGGGTCTGTGGTTGGGCTGACTCAGGGGTGAGAGGCCTGGCTCCCCCTGTGAAGACACAGCGACAAATATTGATTTTTGGAGACAGAATTGGGCTTTGATGCCACCTACTGGCTTCAGCAACACCCGAGACTAGGGACAGAGCAAGAAAATAAAGGGACCGATTCAATCGTATCTGGTACAGACTAAATAGGCCTACAATGGAGCATCCCAGAGTGGCTACTGCCTATAAGGGCACTGAAGAATAAAGGCAGTTAAGCCTTTCCATCAACAGTTTCATCTTTTATACGCATGCATGCGCTTAAAGGCAGCTTCACGACTGAAGCTTCATTATTATAATTTCACATTCAATCCAATTTTAAATAACCCTCATTACATTTCGTGGTTTAATGATGGCATGCAATTTCCCTTGCTTCTTCCAGCTTATTCAAGGCATGACAACACACCATTGCACACATCTAACAATTAAAACTGTTTCACGGGCTTCTCTAACTGTAGCTCCCTGCTGTACTCAGGGGAATTTTCTATCATCCCTACCCAAAAATAACAAAAAGTGATTGCACATTAGACAAGCTTCTTAGTAGGGAAAAAAATAAGTGTCATGGTTTCCTGTGTCTAGCAACAACAACTCAGTAGTAACTGGCACAGAAAAGGAAATTACGAATCCTCACAGTAATTTACAGTTGACTAAAATATCAATCTTGTTTTATTTGTGTCAAATTTCACTATACAATTGCCCTTTTTGTGTAATTTTTAGTGAAATATCTTAAAACTACTCTAAAATTCTTAGAAATATAACTGTAAAATGTAAACAAGTAGGAAGGAAGAGGTTGCTATGGACTTCAAAAAGGAAAAAAAAAAAGGAAATGGAGTATTTTCACTAGACTTTTTTTCCACTAAATTCTTTCTCCTTAATATGTATTTGTATAAAGCCCAAGTCCTGATATGTATATGAACATACAGCAAGTACTGATATGTATATGAACATACAGCAATCCTTCACCTGCAAATCTTGTCAATTTAGTTTAATAATATACGGACTAAAAGTCCTTGCATCATATTTGCAGAAATTTGTGTCTCCATTTGTGTATTTTTTTCCCCACTCCAACCACAGGTCAAGACCTTCCACTTCACACTACTTTTAAGATACAGGTAACTATACAAAAACGGTTTCTAGATATTTATTTATTCATTTATTGCTCCTACCTGAAACTCTGCCAGTGGATGAGCCAAAGCTGCAGTCAGTGAGTGGCTCCCCATCACTTTCAGAGAGAGGGAGCAAGTGAAGAAGACCAGGCCTCTCTGGCTCACTCTCCATGTCTGTACTGCTCTCGTATCCCTGTTTTGTGTAAAGCCACAGTAGTAATACCTAGTGTTATTTGCTGCTTTAACCTGAAGAAACCAAATAAAATGTGATAGGTGCAAGATCTACTGTCTGTGAAGCTTAAATAGGAAATGTCCACCTTTTTACTTGTTCTATCAATCAACAGTAGCCTAAAATCTTGTAAAATATACTATTATTTTTCAAGATTTCCAAAGATGAGAAAGATTCTCAGTATTCGTGTTGCATTTCAGTCTGCTATAGTAACTAGAAAGCAGACAATATATAGAATCAAACTATGATGAAAAAATGAGGAGAGGTTTTACCTGAGGGGTAAATGATGGCAGCTGATGACATATTTTGCATTACAATTTCTGCCTATCTACTCATAGAGCAGTATGGTTTATCTATGCCAGAACAAGGCAGTATCTCTACATAAGCAATTTCCCATACTTAAAGAAGAATATTTTTTTCTTAAAATGTGGGGAAAAAGGGTATTTGTAATCCAGTTCAGGTGAGATTCTTTGTGCTGAGACAATATTAGCGCAAATTACATATAAAGCTTGGAAAAAAAGGATTTTCATTGTTGCAATTTAAAAAAAATTCGCAGCTGAGCAAAGCCCTTGAGCTTTTCCCTTACTGATAGCACTTTGATAGATTCCCCAGCTGGTCTCTCACAATATGCTTGTTGGCTCTTCTGAAGGTAACGCCTCCAAAAATTGCACAGAATTTCATCCTGTTAAACATAAACAAACAATGATTAGTCTGACGGACACAAGTTCATTAATTTGTGAGAGACTGAGATCCTGAGAATTACAGACTGTAATTTACAATTCAGGAATCTGAAAAATGTTCTGGCTCCCATTTTATTAACTGGGATTTATAAACTATATTTGAAGTTACCAAAGAAACTAAGTTTGTTTTCATATGCTCAGTGCTTTTAAGCAGAGTTATTTGATCCATTGTAAAAATCACCATCTTTTAAAATAACCCTCACTGTTACTCACTCACAGCGTGTAGACCTTACCCTGATTTCTACATACCTTCATTTGTGGGCATACTCCTAAGGCTTCCAAAGCTTCTGCTTGTTTCTGGAGTACAAACTGAAAGCCTTCACAAACATACCATTCCCAGCCTTCATCTATGAAACAGAACACAAAGATTGTTTGTATTTTTAAGATCATATGCTAACATTATGTTAATTTTTTAAAATAATGTTATGTTACATAATATTAACTTTTTTTTGCACATAATATTCTGTTTTCTTAGTACTAGGCCTAGGATGTAGCTCTGTATTTAATAATTGCAGGTCCACAAACTTGCTAAGGGAACCTTCTGTGCCCTCGTCCAGGTCATTGATGAACAGGTTGAACAGCACCGGGTCCAGTACTGACCCTTGGGGGACACCACTGGCCACAGGCCTCCAACTGGGCTCAGCCCCATTTATCACCACCTTCTGAGCTCTTCTTTGCCATTTATTTAAAATAACAGCTTTAGCAACTCACTTGAACCTCACCATGTTAAAACCTCTCTGCCCCAAGTTTCTGTTAGGCTTTAAAGATGTTGGGTTTTTTCTTTGCTGCAGATCTTGCTCTTACACATGCAGGAAAACAGGCTGCAAGAGTATCATGTTAACAGCAGTCACATAAGGGACTGCACAGAACTATGGGTTTCTTTTGTAGGAAGTTTGGGGGGTGCCTAATGACCTCTCCCACAGCAGTAAAAAAGCAAGAAATGGTTTAGGGCTCGGACTTGAGGAGCAAGATGGGATAAAGACAGTTGGAGCTGTTAAGCTCCTATTATGGAGCCTACCATAATATCCTTACAGTCATATTATCATATGTAATGGTCACTATTCTTCTGAATCATGAAATAAAAAGTATGGAAGGAACTCTGGATGAAAGATGCGACATTTAACTACATCATTTTAGCTACTGTAACTGTATGAAGACTCTTACACATAGGTTTGCGTGTAGGTTAGAGGGCCAAGCAGCTGTAACACAAGCCAGACATACTCTAAAAGCGGGAGCACTGTTAGACCTCACCTACAAACACACACAACTTTCCTGTTCCCAGTCACCACAAGGAGGAAATCCAGGGATCACCACAATGCAATGAATGCCATAGGTCTCATCGCAGAGTATGGGCTCACACAAATCAAACTGACAAAAGGCCACACGCAGTTGTGTTCAATGGGAAAAACACCCAGGGCCCAGAGGCCGTTTGCAGCGCAGCAGTCACTACCCACTGGGTCACTCAGGGTGCTGCAGGTGTTTGGGGCTTGTGCTGTGCTCCTGTTCTTACAGTCTTTCCTATCTACTTTTGGCTAAGACAGAATTTACTACCTTGACCTTTTATCTGATCCACTACAGCTGTTCTTATGCAAAAAGGGGAGAGAAGAAGATACATACCATTTTTTTCCTGCTTTCTTAGACCTTTGGAGATGGTCTGGATTCTTGTGTTCGAAGTAACAGCACTACTGACAACTTCTCTGGTTCTCTGCAAAACAGCAACGTATCTCAGCAAAGAAAAGGGAAAAATCTGTGCCTAACCTGCACAGATTGCCCCACCATAAAACAAGGAACTCCTTCCAATCACAGAACCAAAAAACAGTAATTCACAAAATGTTCTCAACCTTCTATTTAGGAAAGGCAAAAATTGGGAACTACCATCCTGGCCAGACAGGTAAAATCCATCAGTTTGTCTCCATGGGCACTGCCATGAAGTGCAGCACTACCCCACAAGCTGGAGCAGCACTTTGCTATTAAACTAGCTATTAAAAGCTACTGCATTTTAAAGTTTGTGAGTTTTATGAAACTGGTGCTAAATAGTCTGTTTTGGAACAACAACAGTTTTAAACAGCATTAGGTAAAGCATGAAAACGGAGGATTTGCAACACTGCCTTCAGTCTCTAATGGCAAGGAGAAAAATGAAATGTTTTCCTTAAAAAACAAGGCACAACCAAAGAGAAATGCCCTTCCCAAAGACTTGATGTTTTTACCTCTGTAACATTGTGGCAAGTTCTGCAATAAAATCTGCCTCCATCAGTAAGGCCCCAGTTCACTTCCGAGCACTGCACACAGCGCTCGTGATAATCTTCCTAAAACAAAAATAAAAGAAGTTTCACACGTGTCCAAGTGGAGCAAGCAACACCACTCCTGGGCTACAGCACAGGGGATTCGGGGATTATTTACTGAACAGAGTATTTCTGCCCTTTGTGTTAGCTGTAATTATACAATGAACAGTCAGACCATTCACTGTCAGCTGCAGATAAGAGAACAGGTAAGTTCTCCCCCTCGCAAGCGCCGAGTTCTGCGTATACGAGCACAAAGCAACAGCCGCCTCTGCCTGGAGTAGGCGCCGAGAATAAAAGGCAGAATAAGAGGAAAGGGAGAGGGGGGAAACGGCAGCAAGGTGTTTCTGGCCCAGGGGGGTAACGCGGGGCAGAGGGGCTGCCGAGGGGAGCGCGGCCCACGGGCACGAGGGGGTTACGGGGGGCCGGGAGAGGAGCCGGTGGCTACGGGCAGCCCCGGCCGGGAGCGGCGGCTGCAGCCCGGGCCGCGCCTCGAGCGGGTCCCGCGGC